GCTTAACGACTTAGCCACCCAGGCGCCCCCTTGACTGATTTTTATATTATTCAATGTTTTTTAATCCTTTTATTATGAATTTTGATTTTCCAGTTGTTCCGGGCCAGTACAGTGGAAGGCCCTTCAAACTAATTTCTGAGTTCTGATACGTTCCCATTATTCTCTGAGCACTTCCTTATTTTCCAGGGCTAATAAATGTTCCAGGCTTATCCTGTCTTTTCCCTGGAATTGGCCATTTTCCCACAGAACCCTGGTTCCTCTTGGAGAATGGTATTTTCAAACAGATGTGCTCATTGCTGCTGTTGCCCCAGCACCACTCACCAGGGCTAGAAAATTGTGGTTGTGTGGTGTGTGTGTGTTACATGTATTCCATATATGAGTTCATACCAAAACCTCTGATTCTAATCTAATACCCCTGCAGATTAAATTCTAGTATTCACTCTTTCCTTATTTATAATGCCTTTTCCAACAGAAATCTTGCTCCCATTATCGTTAGTATATTTATTCATTTACTCAAGCCTAGAATATACAAGAAGTTTTTAGAACTAGTAAACTTACACCACTAGGAGAAGGAAAAAATACGTGTTCTACACTTGTTGAATATAGTGTTCTATATTTCAGTTAGTCCAAAGCTTTGATATTTTTCAGTTATGTATCCTTAGTGATTTTTTTTTGTTTAGTTCTGTCAATTAGAGAAGCATATAAAATCTCTATATTCTTTTTTCTTTTTTCTTTTTTTTTTATTAAAATCTCTAATTATGATTGTGGATTTTTCTCTTCCTATTATTATGTCAGTTTCTGCTTAATGCATTTTGAAGACCAATTATCAGGTATATACCCATTTATGGTTTTTTATGTTTTTCTCACAAATTGACCCTTTTGACTATAAAGTGATGTCTTTTTCTCTGGTAGTACTCCCTGTCTTGAAGTCTATTTTCAATATAATACTATAATACTATGGCTCTTTTGATACTTGTTTGAATAATATATTATTTTCCATTCTCTGACTTCCCAATTGCCTGTGTCTTTTACATATATCACATAGTTAGGAATTGCTTGTTAAGTCTAATCTGACACATTCTATCTTTTATTTATTTTTAAAGATTTTATTCATTTATTTGAGAGAGAGAGAGCACGAGCAGGGGGAGGGGGAGGGACAGAGGGACAAGCAGACTCCCCGCTGAACAGAGAGCCTGAGATCACTACCTGAGCTGAAGTCTGATGCCTAACCAACGACACCCAGGTTCCTCTGGTTCTATCTTTTAATTGGAGCTTTTAGTCCATGCACATTTAATGTAATTATTGGTTTGGTTGTACTTGGTTTTACCATTTTGCTATTTATTTTCTCTTTGTTCTAATTATTTTCTCATCCTCTTTTTCTGTTTTTAAAATAAAAAAATCTGTTAATATTCTACTTGAATATCTCAATGTATTAGCTCTACATTGCATTGATTTTCAGTTGTTTAGGAATTACAATATGCATCCTTAACTTAAAACAGTCTACTTAGAGTTAATATTTTACCACTTCATATAAGATGTAAGACCTTTGTAGTGATATATTTACATTTACAATCTCATCCTTTTTGCTATTGTTGTCATCTATAATTCATCTAGGTATGTTAAAATCCTGTGATGCATTGTTACTATTTTTGCTGCTGGCCCTCCAGTTTCTGCCTACTTTTGGTCATTATCCAATGTTTTCAAGTAGACTTTTTTTTTTACACTTTATAATTGTTTATAATTTAAAATTGTAATGAAACATTTGTTTCTGTAATTTTTATATTGTTTATAATTTTTACATTGTTTATACTTGTTATATGCAAGATTTTTAGCCCAATAAAATATAAGCTACAAAGCCATTACTAGAAAGTTTTTAATTTAACTATAGTCGTGTTTATCAATCTCTTATTTTATGGTAGCACTTTTTCTCTTATTTAAGGAATCCTATAATACCTTCAAGATAATAAAATTATCTCTTATGCAGGCATATCTCATGTTATTGTATTTTACTTTATTGTGCTTTGCAGATACTGCGTTTTTTTTTAATGTCATTTTATTATGTTATGTTAATCACCATACATTACATCATTAGTTTTTGATGTAGCGTTCCAGGATTCATTGTTTGGATACTGCGTTTTTACAAATTGAAGGTTTGTGGCAACGCTGTGTTGAGCAAGTCTATAGGGACGATTTTTCCAACAGCATTTGCTCATTTCATGTCTCTGGGTCACATTTTGGTAATTTTTGCAATATTTCAAACTTTTTCATTATTGTATTTGTTATGGTGATCTGTGATCAGTGATTTGCTGAAAGCTCAGATGATGGTTAGCATTTTTTAGCCATAAAGTATTTTTAAATTAAGGCAAATACATAGTTTTTTTTTCTTAGACATAATGCTGTTGCACACTTAATGGACTGCAGTGTAGTATAAACATAATTTTTATATGCACTGAGAAACCAAAAAATTCATTTGATTTGCTTTATTGTGATACTTTATTGTGGTCTGGAACCAAACCCATATCTCTGAGGAATGCCTGAATTCTAAAAGTTTTGAAGTTTACTTTTCACAATTGTTACTTTAATCTCGTTAGCCTTTTAATCTTTGTATTTATTTGGTGTGAGGTAGGGATCCAATTTCATTTTTCCACATAGGTAACCTATTCTCAAAAGCCATTTATTGAACAGTCAGATTTCCCTCAGTTCCCTACAACATTTACTGTGTTGGGGACTGGATTTATTGCATTCCCATAAATAGTTTGGGATTTTCTTGTGCTATGCTATTTATTTCATTACTTGGCCAACCCCTTCACTTGTGAACTGTATCCCATCCCCTCACCTACCTAAGAATATTACTCCAGCAAGTCTCCTTTCTCTCTCCTGCTTCAGATTTTATTCTGCCTGAATGTTCCTATCAGCATATAAACATACTGGTTTTTTTCCCATCTTAAATAAACAAAACTCTTAGCCCCACCTCCCCTTTTAGCTCTGCTATACCTCTCTGCTTTCCTTCATTACAAAACCTCTTGAAGTCTACACCTCCTGTTGTTGGAGAGGAAAAACTTTTCCTCTGCCCTCTTAGATTTAGTGCCTGGGGGCCTGTGAATTAAACTGACAAAAGAAGATGAACAGGAAAAATTATTCATATACTTATGGGAGCTTACAAAAGAAGTGGCTTGATAAATGGTTAAAGTTAGGGAAAGGAAGGGGCTAGAAGAGGTCTTTGGGGAAGAGCACAGGAGTTTCTAGAAGAACAAATGGGAGATCAGAAAGTTTGTGATAATGGTTGTTCATGCAGGTGGGGGTGGTTTTTCCATTTTTGTGGCCATAAGATTTCCCTGGAAAGAGAATTTATGGTAGATATTCTCTAGGTCTCCTTCCTGGTAATAAAAGCCACCCCCATCCACCCCCCTCCCCAAAGAGGGAATTTACGGCAGCCTTATTTCCTAGAAGTTTCTTTTAGTCAGACAAGGGAAGCTCCAAGAAGGCTTCTTTCTGTATCTGTTGAATCCCAAATGCCTTCAGCTTAGAATAATCTTCATACCAACTCGGGTTTTGAATGGGTCCCTGTATTGTCTCCAATTCCTGTCTCCCCATCTTTCTTGAATCCTATTCAATCATCCCACTGTTCCACAATAGCTTTTGTCAAAGGCACCAAATACCCTCCACATTGTTAGATCTAATGGTTGCCTTCAATGCTCATCTTCCATTCCAGCTGCATCTGACACCCCCCCCAATCCTCAACACACATCATTCACCTGGTTTTCTGGAAGCTAGCTCTTTTCCTTCTTTCTCCCCAGTAACTTCACAGACTCATTTGCTGGCTCACTCTCATCTCCCTTCTTTTTATTGCACTGTCCAGTCTTCCTGACCTTTTAATTCTCTATTTGTAGTCACTCCGTGGTATCATATATTGATACCATATAAAGCCTGATGATTCCCGAATTTTTATTTCCTGACCTGATTTAATTAATAAATTCAAGTGTCTTCATCCACAACAATGTCTGATTGGCATTTCAAACTTACATGTTGCCATGGTTTGAACATTTGTGTATGCCCCACCCCTCCTGCCCCAAATTCATGTTGAAATGCTAACCCCCAATGTAATGGTATTAGGAGGTGAGGCCTTTGAGAGGTGATTAGGTCATGAGAGTGGAGCCCTTGTGAATGGGAATTGTGCTCTTATAAAACAGACCGTACAGGGCTCCCTAGCCCCTTTCACCCTGTGAGGATACAACAAGAAGCCTGGGATCCAGAAGAAGCACCTGACCATGCTGGCACCCTGATCTTGGACTTCTAGCCAAGAGAAATGTGAGAAGTAAATTTCTGTTATTTGTAAGCCATCCAGTCTGTGAGTGGACTGACATGTGTCTGAAACTGAACTCTTGATTTTTTTTCCCCTCCATCCTTCTAGTTGATGGGCCAAAGTTTTTCTTTCCCTCATACCTTACATCTTTTACCATAAACAAATTCTTTTTTTTTAAGATTTTATTTATTTATTTGACAGAGAGATAGAGAGCACAAGCAGGGGGAGCAGCAGAGGGAGAGGGAGAAGCAGGCTTCCCGCTGAGCAGGGAGCCCAATGCGGGGCTCCATCCCAGGACCCTGGGATCATGACCTGAGCCAAAGGCAGACGCTCAACCAACTGAGCTACCCAGGTGCCCCTACCATGAACAAATTCTGTTGGTTATACCTACTCAATGTATCCAGAATCTTGGCTATTTCTTAGAACTGCAACATTAGCCCTCTGACCCAAGCCGCTGTCATCTCTCCCCATCATCTATGCTTAACAGGGGGAGTTGTTCCTCCATATCACTCACAGTAAATGCTAAAATCCGTGTGACCAGCCAGGCCTTTTATCAAATGTCAGCAGACTATAGCCAGAGGCCAAATGTGGTCAGCTATTTGTAAATAAAGTTTTATTGTAACACAGTCACACTCATATTACATATCCTCTATGGCTGCTTTCACACTACAACAGCAGTGTGACCAGAGGCCCTATGGCCAGCAAAGCCTAAAACATTTATTACCTGCCCTTTACAGAAAATGTTTGGTACCCTACATGATCTGCCCTCTGCTACCTCGCTCACTTCCCTTCTGCTCCAGTGACTTGTCTCGGCTTTCTTGGTGTTTTTAGATTTGTTAGGCAAGTTTCTACCTCAGGGAACACTACCTGTTGCTGTTTCATCTGCTTGCAATTCCCTTCTCTCAAGTATTCACTGCTTTACCTCCTTCAAGTCTGCTCAAAGATTACCTTCTTCAGCGAAACCTTTCCTTACCACTCTTTCATATTGTAATCCTCCTCCCTGCCCTCCCCCTGAGGTTCCTGGCTTTCTCTTCAAAGTATTCATCTTTTAATTGTCTACATCGTTGATTTTTTTGTTTTTTCTCTGTCTTCCTCCACCAGAATGCATTCTCCAGGAAGGCAGGGATTTTTCTCCCATTCCTCATTCTGTTCACTGCCATATTTCGAGCATCAAGGACATTACGTGACAGGAGGTAGGCACTCAATACATATTTGTTGGTGAATTCCCTATTCATGTCCCTTTTTTCTTTGGCCTGCTCATTTATTCATGCATTCATCTTACACGTATTTACGGAGTAATTACACCGTGCTGGCCCCAGATATAAGCACTGGTAAAGGGCAACACGGGGCCCCTGCGCTCAGGCATTCTGGATCATTCATGGGGATGCTGGAACCAGCTGGTATCAGTGCTCAAGAGCTGAGTGATACACTTTCTGTTTCAGGTAAATTTTTCCGTTGTTAAGCAGCATTATACACTAAACTGTATAACTTCACAATGAAGCCATATGAAAACCAGGTATAATGACTACTCCACACTCACTACTCCTAACTCCTTGACTACATTTTATTGTTCCTTTGCTCCTGAGGTTAGTCACATGTACTGCAGCAAGGCGGCGGGGAGCACATCCACGGGAAAGTCCAGCGCCGCGCTGAGCCCTCCTCGCGGACTCGCGGGCGCGGGGTCACTGGCGCCCCCGCGTGCATCTGCCCGCAGGAGGCCGCTTCGTCGTGACACTGAGTGCGCCCCGCCACAGGCCACCTTCCCACCGGCTCGGGACAGGGGTTCCCTCCGAGTGCATGTCTCCAGGTGTGGAGGAGGGGGTGCACGGGGGGGCCTCTGGACAGCTCGGCCAGCTTCGGCCCCTCTGGATGGGGGAAAGCCTTTACTGTGGAAGGGAGGAGGATCGATCACTCGGGCCTCCATTTGCCGAGCCTGTGCCGAGCCGAGACGCGGGGATCGGCTGGGAATGCCTGGGCGCGCGGAGCCCGGTGGGAAGCGCGGGGCGGCCCGCTGGGGTCGCGGGCTGGCTTTCTGGTGGGCGCTGCGGGCTCGAGGGGATCGCGCGGGCGGGTAGAGGCGGCCGGGCGGGGAGGGCGGAGGAAGGGCGGACGGGAGGGCGTGGTGGCGGAGCCCAGGTGCGAGTCCCAGGTGCGTGTCCCAGGTGCGCGCACGCGGCCCCAGGGGGAAGGGCAGGCCGTGCTCCCCAGAGCCTCGGAAGTTCGGTGGCCGAAGCTGCATTGGGGACCCCAAGCGTGTTGACAGATGCCCGCGACTTGGAGGGTTCCTCTCTACCGGCCTGTGAGACTGAAGGGACTCTGGGGATCGTGCAGATAGATAGGCATTCTCTTCGCCCGGAAACAGTTACTGATGCAGTGGTTTTAAAAAGGGATCTGGAATAGTTAGATTTTCCCTTTTTTAAAAAAATGGATAATTTTAGAGCGTAAGAAGTCTCAGAAATTATCCCTGCGGAGCAGGGTTGGGCTCGTTTTATGGCTAAGGGTCACACCGAGATTGCATGTAGACCTGGAAGTAGAGCCCTGTCCCAAGTCCAGGATTTTCCTCCTTATCTCAAGGGATAACTGCCATTGCATGTTTTACTTTACACCCCCCCCCCCGCCACGTTGTTGAATTCATAACCGTTTTTAATCCACGTGTTGTTTTATTTTGTAGGAAGAAGAAATTGACTAAATGAAAAACATGAAGTCAAATAGAATTAGAATCCCACTTGCTATTATTTCAAGTCAGGGACGTAAAAGTATACCAGTGCTGTCTTTCCCCAGTGATATCCTGGGTTTCATTACTGGAAACACCCCATTTTTCTAATACTCATTATGTCCGGAGGGAAATCTCCTGTGAAGAAAAAAGCTCGTAGAAGTTTATCAATCAGTAAAACTAAAAAAAATGAGTGTAACTCTATTATTTCGTTTTTTAACAATGTCCCACCTGCTAAACTTGCCTGCCCCATTTGTAGTAAAATGGTGCCGAGATACGACTTAAACCGGCATCTTGATGAAAAGTGTGCTAACAATGATGACATTGCCCCAGTTGATCTGAGGCATGTTGGCTTAGAGAATTCAAATGGGTCCCCAGTAAATTTAACCAATACTGTCTTAGAAAATGTAATGCCAGAAAAGTTGTCACCATCAAAGACAAGTTTAACCCCTGAGCAAAGTGATTCGGCAAAAATGGGCATAAAACAGACCAGCCCCTACTTTAAAAATAATAATGACTTGGCATGCAAAAGTCCAGATAAGCTGAGACATCATAATGTGAAAGTCATTACTTTGGGAAGCCTATCATCTAAATTGTCCAGAAGATACATAGAGGCTAAAAGATCAATATGTAAGGGGAATGAAGAATTTGCCAGTAAGAGTCCACAGAGTCCCTCGTCCACAGTGGTTAGGAGCCCAGTTGATAAGTGTTCAGAGACTGAGGACAAGGATCAAATTTTGGAGAACAGTTCTCAAAAGGAAAACGTGTTTACCTGTGACTCTCTTAAGGAACAGAGAACTTCTGAACATACTGTAGAAGGCGCTAAAGTACTGGAAGCTGAAAGCCAAAAGGCTACCCAGGAATGTGGGAGATCACCCCTCACCCCTGCCTTCTCAGATAACGCTTCTGTGTTATTTTCACCAAATTTAACTCCTGGGAATCCATTGAGATCTACTTCAGAGGACAGTCTTGAGTGGGAGACTATCACAGGAATAGATGGTAAAGATGTTGAAAAATGTGAGGCAGGTAGTTGTGAAGAAGTAAAAATGACTGTTGCTTCACATGCTAAAACACAGTTGTCAGATTGGGAGGCAAAATCTCATAGTTCTACACATGATGATTCTAAAGGTTGTAACATCCAGGACCTTCTGGAAGGTGACAGTGACTTAAAGAATGAAATCACTTGCAGAATTCCTTCGGAGCAGGGGTCAAGCTGTGATGTTCCTGATAGAACAATTACAGTACCACCAAGTCATCCTTACTACCTTCAGAGTTTCCTGGTGGTGCTGAAAGCTGTATTTGAGAACGAAGAGGATAGGATGCTCTTCGATGAACATGAGCAGGAAATTGTAACTAAATTTTATCAGTTATCAGGTATCTTAACCTTGTGTGCTTCCAAGTTTTTGTTTTCCATTTGCTGTCCTGATTTGGCCAGTAATCTAATGACCACAAGGAGTCAGTGTGGTTCTGTGAGTCCTCTGGGAATACTCAGGGAAATCAGCCAGCTACAAGGTTTGAGAAGAATATGCTTGAAAAAGAGACAGGATTTTGTGTCTGGTAATGTCTGCTTCTGTGGTATCATCTCCTTACAAGCTGTACTTTGGTTTTAATGGAAGCAGCTGTGTTTCCTTTATATGTATATTTGAAGGTTGTAAAACAGCCTTTTCCAGGTTAAAAAAAATACAGTGATTTAGAAAAGGGTCCTTTGCATTCTGAGCATGTAATCAAGCTTAACTTAGGTTCTGTTGTTTTCACCTACCATTTTCTCAAAAATGAAGTAAAATACAGGAAAGGACAAACCAAGGTATATTAAGGCATATTTTTTTCCTCCGATAATATTTTAGGTTTCTGGGCCCTGCCTTTTAAGGTCAGGGTGTGGAGGAATTGGAAACTTTCAGGCTAAATTGGTGCATTTAAAAATATTGGTCTGTGCTCAGTTCCTTGGCAGCCGGTGGTGATTCTGTGCTGACAGTGCAGATTTGGAGCAAAAGCCACCCTTGTTGCACTGCTAATCCAACGGGCCATGATGGCTTTGTGGAGCCAAGTTCCCCCGGAGGTAGGAAAAGCTTACTTGGGGGCTACACTGATCTCTCATGGTTTGCAGTCAGGTCTGACTCTTGAGTTAAAAAAAACAAATACTACCAGTAATGTTCAAGAGGAGGGTTTTTGTTTTAAGTAAACACAGTGGAATTAGAGTCTTTGTATTACTTTTTAACATGTGAGTGATACTTCTCTGGGCACAGTTGCATAAATTATCCACACAGCCTCCATCTCCACTTGTGCTGTCCTCACCAGAACATGGGCATAAATGACACCACATTGACTCTTCTAACTACAGAAGTCACAGATCTTTGGTTGGCTGCTGCTTGCATTCGTGTGAGCATTCGAGTACTCCATGGCTCTGTGCTTCTGTATAATTGAGAAGTATGAATAGTTTACCTAGTGCAAGTTCTGTAGATTCTTGTGTGTGGCTCCCCACAGATATCATTTGCAATGTCTCTGTGTGAAAATAAGTGCTAATCGAGTTGGCCTCTTTAAAGAAAAAAGGGGGATTTTAAAAGTTGAAGATTTAAGAAGTATAATTATAGCATTTTAGAATTGGCAGAAATTTAAAGATAATCCAGATAACAGGAAAACTGTGATCAGGTTAATTAAATAGCTTTACCAAGATCACTGAGTTAGGGATGGCTGCCTTACCAAAGCTACACATATTTTGAAAATCTTTTCAGATTATTTTCAGCCAACAATAGAATCATGCATATTAAACTGAAAGCAGAGAACAGAATAACTGGAATTCTGGGTAGGGCTTCTCTAAGGGAGGAAAAACGGTGGTGGCTGGAAAATGGGAATCCTGGTTCTTCGAACTTTTGAAATGGCCAATAACCACTATCAATATTGGAACTTTTTAGTGGTTGATCCACCAATAATCGAATACCTCATCTTGTTTAATCTTTTCACCAACTTTGGGAAGATGGTGTTATTGCCCCAGCCCCCTTTTTTTTTTAACAGAAGAGAAAATGGAGTCTCAGTGAGGTTCATAGACTTGTATAGTTCAGAAGTGGCAGAGCTGGCCCAGGGCTTCCCACCCTGGATGCTCTTCCTGTCCTGTGGTGACAGGCACACAGGGCAAGGAGATGTCTCCATGGGGACTTCTATCTGAAATAAATTATATTTTCCAAAGGAAGAGAAAGATTTTCTTGGAAGATCATTTGAGCAAGCATTGAGTGTATTTACTTACTTTTTTAAGATGTATTTTAAGAGAGAGCACAAGTGTGCGTGTTGATGGGGGGAGAGGCAGAGGGAGAGACTCTCGAGCAGACTCTCCGTGGAGCCCCATGCGGGGCTTGCTCTCATGACCCATGAAATCATGACCTGAGCCAAAACCAAGAGTCAGATGCTTAACCGACTGAACCACCCAGGTGCCTCAGCATAAGTGTATTTTTAATAGAATGTATTTTACTTTTAAACTCAGTTTTAAAACGTGAATATTGGTTGTGTTGAGAAGAGAGAGATTTTTCACTATTTTTCTTAACTTTATTGCAGCTAGTGGTCAGAAGTTATATGTAAGACTTTTTCAACGTAAATTCGGCTGGATTAAGATGAATAAATTGGAATACGAAGAGATTGCCTCTGACCTAACACCTGTGATTGGAGAATTGCAGCAAGCAGGCTTTCTGCAGACAGGTATGATTAGTCAAAGGAAATGTAAAATGAAAATAGGACATGAAGAACTAAGTTCCTGCAGAACAGTGGTGATAACTAGTATGGTGTCCTCTCCCAGTTGGTGCCTGGTAAATAGTAATTGTTTTTGTTTTTGTTTTAGTTGAGTTTTTAACCTTAGGACAACACATTATTCATGTTAAAGCCATTATTAGCCTGGATGAAGACTACTGTTGTTTTCTTGACTCATGTTTAGGACGATAAAGTCCTCTCCGGATAGCTATGTGGCTGTGGGCCACCAGAGAAACTCCTCCTTCTCAGCTCTCACCTTCCAGCAGGAATCTGACTCATTCAGACACCTCATCTTTGTGATAGAATAAAGCTCGTTTGCTTGCAGCTAATATTGCCTCTGCAAGCTTCATCCACCCCCTCCTGAACACACATAGAGCTCTTAGAGTTTCGAAGTTCGTTGATTTAAGCCGAGGAGACTGTTAGGTAGCCTTGCTGGTCTTGTCCTTGAGCACCTACCCATACTGAATGTAGTATTGTACTGGAAATGTAGGTGGAGGGAGAATGGGAGTCTTGGGTAATTGCTGACAGTTTAGACCGAAATAAGCAAATCAGGCAAAAGCCAGGTGGTGTCTGTGTGGAAGTTTGTTGAGGAGAGCGGTTAGTAAGGTGAGGTTAGGTGCGGTGGTGGGGCTGGGGGCAAAGCAGAGAGGTGCCGTGAAGAAGTTCGAATGTGAGGGACTAGGCAGCGGGACACGGGGCCCTGCTTGGAGCACTGCTTCCCGCATGTCAGTGCCCTAAGGGTCACCTGGGAGCTTCTGTCCTTACCTGACTTGGAGCATTTAATGCAGATTCATAAATTTACAAGTTTGCTAGGCATCCCAGGGGAGCCTTGACTTACCTTTAAATGACCTTTAAGCAACAAAACCAGAACCCCAGTGGCTCATTGTTGCACTCAATCAAGTCCAAGTCCTGCCGTCGATGTGCACAAGCCCGTGGGCCCGGGCTCTGCTGCCCTTCCTGCTCACTCCACCAGCGCTGCAGAGCCCTTGGTGTTCCTCAGCATGCTCGGTGCACTCCCCTCTCGGAGCCTCATACTTGCTGCCCCACGCTCCCTGGCTCCCTGCACGTGCTCCCTCATTTCATCTCACTCTGCTCTGTGTCAGCTCATCAGAGATTTGCCTGACTGCCCTGCGTACATAGCCAGCCCTCCCACCACGTTCGCTTTGCCTTCGTCAGTTTTGTCTTTCTTTATAATAGTTATCAGCACATGACACGTAGACTTGCTTATTATGCAAGGAGGTGAACTCCTGGTGGGTCAGGACTTGGTTTGTTCATTGTAGTGTGCCCAAGGCCATCGAACATTACTTGGTATGCAGTGTGCACCCAATAATTAGTTACCAAATGGAGGAAAAAGACACTGCCCTAAGTTGTAAATGCCTTGAAGGCAGACACCAGCCAGGTCTGACTCAGCTGAATCCTGGGTCTCGCATGGTGTCTGGCTCCCATAATAGCAGACATGTCGATGTATGCTGAGTGAGTGAACCCATGAAAGGGTGTCCAGCCGGAGCCTGTGGGGAGGGAGGAGAGCTGATGGTCAAGTTTACTCTCTGACCTGTTTGGGAGAGATCGGGTTGGAGGCCTTGTAATCAGAGAGCAAATACACCAGTGAGTTTTTTAGGAGGATTTCCAAAACATAGTAACTATCCGTATGTGTCTTTATTTTATTCAGACTTTCCTTTACTTTTTAGTGGGAAATTCTATTTTCTAACTTTTATGAGATACCTATTTTCCATATTCTGTAATAATTGGTTTGGCAAACTAATCACAATGTCTTTTTAAGAGAGGGAGGGGGGCGGGGCAGTGGGAGAGGAGGAGAGAGAATCTTAAGCAGGCACCATGCCCAATGCAGAGCCTGATGCGGGGCTCAGTCTCACAACCCTGAGATCATGACCAGAGCCAGAAATCAAGAGTAGGATGCTTAGACAATGGAGCCACCCAGTGCCTCTACTAATTACAATTTTACCGTAGAATTTCATTATATTTGCATCTAACTAAGCTTCATTCTTCTTAAAGTAAATAGAGCTAGAAAATAGTAAAATCTTTAAAACTCTGGTTTTGTTTTTGTTTTTATTTTTTTTCAAATCCGTTTCAGAGTCTGAGTTGCAAGAACTCTCTGAAGTGCTTGAACTGCTTTCTGCTCCTGAATTAAAAACCCTGGCGAAGACCTTCCACTTGGTGAATCCCAACGGACAGAAACAGCGGCTGGTGGACACCTTTCTCAAATTGGCCAAACAGCCTTCAGTTTGCATGTGGGGCAAGAATCAGCCTGGAATCGGTGCAGTGATTTTAAAAAGGTTTTGTTGGATATTATTACAGTAAAAACATATAAAATGTTGATAGTGCAGATTAATTTTTGATAACAGATGGTACATTTTTTGAATTATAATTGCTTATTTCATTTGTAGTTAGATTGAGAAGGCAGAAGAGCCTTATAACAATAGCCTGGATTCTTTCTTGGTTTCTTATTAATAATTCTTGTAATACTATACTAGGACCAAGAAACATCAGGAGGCAGTAGGCATTTGGTAAATTCTAATATTTTATTACTCAAGAAAAATGCAGTTTTAATTACTATTCCTACAGGATTTAAGGGTAATATATTTGGTCAAATATTTATTTTAGTCAACATTTTATTGAAGTGTAATCTGTCAGTCTTAATATGCAACTTTTCTTCAGTTTAGGACATAAAATTGACCAAAAGCTGTAGTTTGTTTCTTTTGCTTTTGTGAAGATGTTGAACTGTTTCAATTTGGGGAAAGATATAAAAACTTCGAGAATTTATTTCTTCTACTCACATTATCTATAAAATACAACAATATTAACTTTAGTTTGGGAATCCACTGTTCTGGAGTTGTTGAGGATGACGTGAGTGATGCTTTTGAAAACACTTTAAAACAATATCAGTGTTATTTATTTTGTCTAATATATTATGTGTATATCTGAATATACACACAGACATATGTGTGCATGTGCACAAGGAACTTTCAGCTGTTATGTGCCAAGAGCCCGTCTTTATTGGGAAGATACTCCAAATACTAATCTTTTATAAAACATAGGTATAAACAAGGCATGCATTATTAAGAAAATTGTCACTAACACTTCAAAAAGTTTATACCATAGATTTTTAAAAAATGTTTTAATTATTTATAGTTAAATGTCTTCTAAGTCCTTTCTTTTTAAATTTTTTTATTTTAAAGTTTATTTTAATTCCAGTCAGTTAGTATACAGTATCATATTAGCTTCAGATGTATAATATAGTGATTCAACACTTCTGTATAACACCCATTGCTCGTCATGACAAGTGTACTCCTTACTCCCCATCACCTATTTAACCCAACCCCGTACTCCCTTCCCCTCTGGTAACCATCAGTTTGTTCTCTATAATTAAGTCTGTTTCTTGATTTCTCTCTCTCTTTTTTCCCTTTGCTTGTTTGTTTTGTTTCTTAAATTCTACATGAGTGAAATCATACGGAATTCGTCTTTCTCTGACTTATTTCACTTAGCATAATATTCTCTGGCTCCATCCATGTCATTGCAAATGGCAAGATTTCATTCTTTTTTATGGCTGAGTAATATTCCAGTGTGTATGTGTGTGTGTGTGTGTGTGTGTGTGTGTACCACATCTTTATCCATTCATCAGTTAATGGTAATGGACACCTGGGCTGCTTCCATAAGTTGGCTATTGTAAATAAAGCTGTTATAAACATCAGGGTACATGTATACCTTCGAATTAGTATTTTTGTATTCTTTGAGTAAATACCTAGTAGTGCAATTGCTGGATCATAGGATAATTCTATTTTTAACTTTTTGAGGAACCTCCATACTGTTTTCCAGAGTGGCTGCACCACTTTGCGTTCCCACCAACAGTGCGAGAGGTTTCCCCTTTCTCCACATCCTTGCCAACACCTGTTGTTTCTTATGTTTTTGATTTTAGTCATTCTGACAGTCATTCTGTGAGGTGGTATCTCATTGTAGTTTTGATTTGCATTTCCCTGATGATGAGTATCTTTTCCTGATGAGTCTGTTGGCCATTTCGACGTCTTCTTTGGAGAAATGTCTGTTCATGTCTTCTGCCCATTTTTTAAATTGGATTATTTGTTTTTTGGGTGTTGAGTTTTGTAAGTTCTTTATATATTTTGGATACTAACCCTTTATTGGATGTTATTTGCAAATATCTTCTCCCATCCCACAGGTTGTCTTTTAGTTTTATTGATTATTTCCTTCACTGTGCAGAAACTTTTTATTTTGATGTCCTGATAGTTTATTTTTGCTTTTTTTTCCCTGCCTTAGGAAACATATCTAGTAAGAAGTCGCTATAGTTGCTGTCAAAGAGGTTACTGCCTGTGCTCTCCTCTAGGATTTTTATGGTTTTCTGACTCACATTTAGGTCTTGAATCTATTTTGAATTTATTTTTGTGTATGGTGTAAGGAAGTGGTCCAGTTTCATTCTTCTGCAAGTTGCTGTGCAGTTTTCCTAACATCATTTGTTGAAGAGACTTTTTCCCATTGGATATTCTTTCCTGCTTTATTGAAGATTAATTGACCATATAATTATGGGTTCATTTCTGGAATTTCTGTTCTTTTCCACTGATCTATGTGTCTGTTTTTGTGCCAGCACCATACAGTTTTGATGACTGCAGCTCTGTGGGAGCCTGGCTGGCTCAGTTGGTAGAGCATGGGACTCTTGATCTTGGGGTTGTGAGTTCGAGCCCCATGTTGGGTGTAGAGATAACTGATTACTACAGCTTTGTAATACAACTTGAAGCCTGGAATTGTGCCTTGGCTATTTTGGGTCTTCTGTGGTTCCATACAAATTTTAGGCTTGTTTGTTCTAGTTCTGTGAAAAATGCTATTAGTATTTTGACAGGGATTGCATTAAATGTGCAGATTGCTTTGGGTAGTATAGACATTTTAACAATATTTGTTCTTCCATTCTGTGAGGATGGAATGTCTTTCCATTTCTTTGTGTCATCTTTAGTTTCTTTTATCAGCGTTTTAAGTTTTTAGAGTACAGGTCTTTCACCTCTTTGGTTAGGTTTCTTTCTTTTTAAAGATTTTATTTATTTATTTTGACAGAGAGAGAC